AAAATAAAAATAAATTTTACTTTCATTTTTGTAATTATAACTTTTTTTACATGATATTTTATATTTGTTTTCTCAATTAACATTTTGTGAATAATTTTTGTACTTATAGAGAGTTATTAAGCTATTAGTTTTACTTAATAAAACTATTAAAATATAACTATTTCAAATTTTTTTCTCAACTAAAGTGGTTTTTCATTAATTAAAATCGTTGAAGTACACTGAAAAGATAGACCAAATCAAATAGAGCTCATGCACCTAAAACTAGGGAGCTCACAATATAATCTAAGGCCAAGACTATACATTAGATAATCATAGAGGTAAGGCAAATATGAGGGCTACCACCACACACCCCAATACCCAATACAAAATTTGTCTATTATTAATTTTTAAAGATATCTTTATAATTTTATTAATCAAAATTAACAACATAACTCCTATAAAAACAGAAGTTAATTACAAAATATTAATTGAAAAAAAATCTACAAAATATTAATTGAAAAAAATCAAAATAAGTTATTCATTAGTAAAGGTTTTGTCATATAACTTATTTATATCGGCCATACCTAGTGCAAAAGATAAAAATATATAGTTTTAAATAAGTTCTAGTGATTTGGCTGGCTCTTCCAGGTTTGGACTTTCTTTTTATTTAATGTATATTTGCAACGAACAGCCTTTTTCTTTCTATTGCAAGGATGCTATCAAATTTAAATAATAATAAATAATAATTTTTATTTAACAATTGGTTAAAGGGAAGCAACCGAGGCTGGACCACATGGCTTTGTAGGGTGTTGACCGAAGCCCCCGTCTTGGAAGCCACCGCGGTGCACTTGATTGCACGTGGTGTCCTGGTCAGTAGGGCTGGCATCAAACGCGCTGCTGCTGTCCCCACTTCTTGTCTCTGTTTGACAGCAACTTCCCACGTAAAAACAAAGACGGATCAAGCTCTGCAATGGCGGCTACCGTCAAATTTATGTCAATCCAAGGGGTAAGAACTTGTTTTTATTAGAATGGGAATGAACATAAGCATTTGATTAGTTTGGTATCATATGTTGACAAATTAAATTAATTCAAATGGATCGAAATATGATAAAAAAATTCAAATCATAATTGAAATCTATTTATTTTGTAAATCATTTGATTTTGGTTAATTGAACTCAATCAAATAAGTTCAATTACATCTTCAAAATTGAAATCTCATGCCCAGTTTAATAATACAATTGAATGATTTATTTATTTTTTAAAATTTTTTTGCCATGGTGACTTACTTCGACTTAGCTACATTTATCAAACGGAGGGGTTAAGTTATTGAACGGTTGATGATTGGGAGATTCTATGAACTCTGGCACTGATCTCAAGTACTGTTGATCGAGACTATAAAAGTGAAGAATCCAAAGACGAAGAGAAGAAGAGGGCAATCTAGCAGATTGTGGCCATGTGTTTCGGATTTGCAGTTCTGCTAGCACTTCTGATAAGCTTAGCAGCCGCCGGCGATGTTGATTTAATCTACAATGGCTTCCGATCCTCAAATCTAAGTCTTGATGGCATCGCGGAGTTCACTTCCAATGGACTCCTAAAGCTCACCAATGAAACCAGGCAACAAAAAGGTCATGCTTTCCACCCTAACCCTGTAAAGTTCAAGAACTCAACGACCGGTTCAGTTCTTACTTCTCCAGACCTTTGTCTTCGCTATCATCTCTGAATATCCGAATCTCAGCGGTCACGGAATCGCGTTTGTGATTGCGCCCACCAGGGGCCTTCCCGGAGCTCTTCCGAGTCAGTTTCTCGGACTCTTCAACGAGTCCAACAATGGCAATGCTACGAATCATGTTGTTGCTGTAGAACTCGATACGATACAAAGTAACGAGTTTGCTGACATCAATGACAATCACGTTGGGATTGATATTAATGGGTTGAAGTCTGACAAATCTTTTCCAGCTGGATATTATGAGGATGGCACCCGTCAGTTTAGAAACCTGACTCTGATCAGTGGGCAAAAGATGCGAGTTTGGGTGAATATCATGGTTTAGAGAAGAGAATGGACGTACTTGGCTCAATTAATGTTCCTAACCCCAAGCCAACTTTGTCTTGTCTCGTGATCTTTCTTCAATTCTTAACAAGGAGATGTATGTTGGCTTTTCGTCGTCAACTGGTTCTGTTCTGACATCGCATTATGTTTTGGGTTGGAGTTTTAGTATTAATGGTCAGGCGCAGGAGCTTACCCTGTCTCAACTTCCCAAGCTTCCTCGGTTAGGACCAAAGAAAAGATCTAGATTTTTGACAATTGGGTTGCCTTTGATTTTAGTGAGTTTAGTTCTGGCAGCAGTTTCCGGTGTAGCTTATTTCATAAGAAGGAAAAGGAAGTTTGCTGAAGTTGTTGAAGATTGGGAGCTTGAGTATGGGCCTCATAGATTCAAGTATAAAGATCTGTATGTTGCAACAAAAGGATTCAAAGACAGGAGCTGCTGGTACTGGCGGATTTGGAAGGGTTTATAGAGGAGTTTTACCGACAGTAAACTTGAGATTGCAGTGAAAAGAGTCTCCACATGAATCAAGGCAAGGATGAGGAATTTGTAGGCAGAATTGTAAGTATCGGTCGTCTCGGCACCGGAATTAGTTCAGCTCTTGGGCTATTGCCGGCGTAAAGGTGAGCTGCTTTTGGTCTATGACTACATGCCTAATGGAAGTCTAGATAAGTACTTGTATGGCCAGCCAAACGTCACCCTTAATTGGAGACAAAGATTCAGAGTTATCAAAGGTGTAGCATCTGGATTGTTTTATTTACATGAAGAATGGGAGCAGGTGGTGATTCACAGAGATGTTAAGGCTAGTAATGTTTTGTTAGACGGAGAATTGAATGGAAGATTGGGAGATTTTGGCCTTGCAAGATTATATGATCATGGTAAAGATCCACAAACAACTCATATTGTGGGAACTCTTGGTTATCTGGCTCCAGAGCAAACTAGAACTGGGAAAGCCACACCACTCACCGATGTGTTTGCTTTCGGGGCATTTTTGCTTGAAGTTGCCTGTGGAAGAAGGCCAATACAGGCACAATCTCCAACAGAAGATGTAATTTTGATTGACTGGGTGTATTCCTGTTGGTACAAAGGTGATATTCTTGAGGCAAAGGATCCTAAGCTGGGTACAGATTATGTAGCAGAGGAAGTCGAGTTGGTCTTAAAACTTGGGTTGCTCTGCTCCCACTCAGAACCCGAAGCAAGGCCAACCATGCGCCAATGTGTCCAGTTTTTAGAAGGGGACATTCCTTTTCCGGAAATATCATCATTTACTCTCTCTTCCGGTGGCCTAGCATTTGCTCATCGAGAAGGCTTTGATGATTTTGCCATGTCATATACATCTTCTATTTTCAAGGGATTCTCCCAGTCATCATCCGTTGCAGAGTCTCTGCTCTCAGGAGGTCGATGATTTGTAAACTTTTCTCAGATTTTTAAATAAAGTTTAATGCATTGCTTTTGTATAGATGTTACTTGGACATTGAAATAGAAATTTCTGGCAAAGGTTCAACCTTTACTTCCCTTATATTATCACACTCCTGGTATTTGTGCATCTGTATCTTCTTTGATGGTGCCTTGTCAAGGCATTCCACCCACTCTAAACACCGTCCCCATTCAAGGTCGGCTGCGCTGTGGGTGGGTTTGATCGCTTGGAATGTTCTGCACTGGTGAGATGTGAATCCGACCAGCATCAACTTGACTTGGAGCATAACAAAGAAGTCCAAAATGTCCGCTGTGGATCCTAACTTTCAATTTTTCCAAGACCTTTCTCAATACAAATAATGATGTCAAATTTGTTATTGTCTTGGCCTAATGCCATGAAAAACAAATCCCATTAATCTTATTGCTTATGCTTTAAAAAATTGTTTAATCCAGAAACTATATTATTGCAAGTTGGCAAGCACAAACGTGTGCTGGAGGAATGTTTTTGCAGAATCACGTTTCCCATATGTTTAGTATTTTCTCAGTTATTAAATAACTGTTGTCAAAATTCACCTTTACAAGATTGGACAATTAAGCACAGCAAGAAATTGGGAAAGAGTTTGCAAGAGTTAGGTACCTTTCCTATCTTGGAACACGATAATTTAAATTATTAGACTCGAGTGAAGTATATTACCCGTAGTCTAAATAAATGAGGACCAATTTACCCAAAGTCGGCTGCAATGACAGACTACACTGACGAAAGACTATGTTAGCGTGTCAAAGAACTTGTTTGTGACTTTTTTGACCCTTTGGGGGATCTCTCTTTCAACTGCGTAATTGAATTTCTGATCATATAATATTTTAAATTTTATATATTAGGAGTAATTTTCATGCTTTGCAAGTCACGCTATAAGATTTGTCATGATCTAAGTTCCTCTCATTTAGACCGCTAATAGCTAGGATATCTGCTCTGATTTAGACTTCTGGAATTTGGTTACAGTACAGTTTTCTCCATTGTCCACGCCTGCAAAATGACTTCTTATCATGATTCTATTAAATTAAGCAAATGCCCGTGGAAATAGATTGTTTAGGAGAAGGTATTATTTTTGTTCAAAAGATTAACTCGATGAGATATGTAATGTTTATATTTATAATTTTTAAAATTTTTTTAATTAAAATTAAAATATCTTTACTTAAAAAAAAAACATTTGACAGCCTGGGACCGGTAAAATGGAAAATGCACGGAGCTGAAGAACTAAACAGACTTTGGGCCTTTGGCAGGCTAATGGAGGCTAACACTGTTGAATTCTAGAAAAAAAAAGAAGCCCACTAGTATGAAACAAAGATAATTCGGTTTACAAGCTCAGCCTAGGCTTGGAAGCCCAAAGTGGACAAATTCACAGGTTAAAGGTTGATACATTTCGGCCATTTATTACCCATGTTCGTGGCTAAATCCTGGCTTTTGTGAGAGTCAACATCAACAAGCCGGCCTAGCAGGAAAGGTGCGTTCTTTATTTCTTGTAGCGCATAGTAATTATCAAATTCTATGCCAGCCATGTCAAGGAGTTGCCTGGAACTCTCCATGTGGCACAACCAACGTTTGGAAATTTAATAAATCAATCAGGAAGAGGACATTTAAACTAGTTTGCCCTTCAAACTAGTATTGCTTTCAGCATGGCTGAGAACCAGCACAGTCAGCCCTCTGAAAAACAACCTGGTGAATCAACAGATTCAACACCTGTCTTGCCAAGTAAGTTGTTTGCTTCCCTTCTCTCTCACATCAACAGTTTTGCAAATTTGATTATTCAAGTGATTAGACAACTAGTCCACTTCATGTTTGATTGGGAGCTGAAAAAATATATATCTTCTTCAAAATTAAACGATCTGCTATGCTATAATTTGATGTTTAGTGGTTCAATATTGATAAGGTGTAAGATGCAGGAACGTACGGGAGTTTGCTTGGATCAAACACTCCTCCAAAAATGGAATGGCCCGAGTTAGTAGGCCTGACCCCAGCGGAAGCAGAGACAAAGATAAAGGAAGACATGCCAAGGGTCCATATTCAGGTGGTCCAAGCTAATTCTTTTGTTACCATGGATTTCAACCAAGGTCGGGTTCGATTGTTCCTTGACCCTTCAGGAAAAGTGCAGAGGCTTCCAAGAATTGGCTAAAAGCAGCTTGTCTCCCATACTACATAGTTCTTGAAATTGCAGGCCCTTGATTTGTTCTTAATATGCTTGGAAATTGCTCATCAGTTGTAAACTTCCATTGCTGTCATTTTAGTTATAGATTGTTGTTGTTTCTCTCTTTCTGCTAGTACAATTAAATGAATGAACTGCAAATTTCTTTGATACCAACAAAATGCTTGGCAGAGCAGGGCCGACCTTGGGCCTCAGAATTTCCCTGCATGAGGGAAAGGAATTCACTAAAACGTGAATTAAATAAACGTGATGAGATACATGCATGATCCCAAAGGAATCCACTAAAACGTGAGATAACAAAGCCATTGCAACTGGACTAAGCATATTCACCAATTAATTCCATGTGCCATTCAACGGATTTCTCTCCAAAATGAATTTACTCAGCAATGACACTATCACCATACATGGAGAAGCCATGAAACCTGAGAAATGGGCAAATGTTTCTTTACCATCATAAAAAAGCCATTGTAGCTATATTCAGAACTGCAAACTCAGCAAATCAAAATGCACAGACCTATCACTTTTTCCTTTTTGGGTCCTGGAAGTGGATCATTTAAAGCATGTGTTAACAGTGGCATGTGAAGGGATCCCACAAAGATATTTTGAGAAAGTTCTAAATGTTCAATTCATGGTTGAAACTTGGAAATCAACTAATACAATAATCTGACTCTGAAGTCAGAAATGTTATCCCTGAGAACTGTTAAATCCCTTGAACCATAGAATTTCACAAGTCAATGTTTATAACTCGTGATGACATTATGGTTCAAAATCTGCAGTATCGTTGATAATATATGCTCCAATCATCTCTGAACAGAAATACGAAGCCTAGCCATTTTCTTTTTGTTTTCTACTGATGAATTGTGATGATCCCCGACAAACTGCATTGACGGATTTATAGAGAAAAGTCATAAAATCCCACTCAAATGATGATCCATTACAGTAAAAAAAGGTCACAAAAACGTGGTCCCTGGAAATATTGTTTCATTTTCTCATCTCAGTGAAGTCAAGTATTGAAGGAATGGTCTAAAAGGCCTAGAGGGAGTTTGGGTTACCCATTCATCTTCGTTGTTCCTATACCAGAAAACAAGAAAAGTCTTCTCATCCTGTACGTTTAGCCCGAAATTATGGGGGCTACTGGTCCTTTCCAACCTTTTTTGGGTTTTGATTGATATTTGTGGTCCTGTCCTCTTTGGCTCTTTGCCTTTGGAAAGCAACAAACTATCACAATCCCACTAGGCCACCACCTAGACGACCATACCATCAAGCTTAAGCGATATTACAGACTTCAAATCTGTAATTCATTAGAAAATACAGGAAATACACATAGTTTAGTTTGCATATACTTTTGAAATTCACATAATTTAAACTCGAGAAAACGGCTGAATCAGTAATACTTGAACTCGAATCGTTACGCTAGTATGATCTTTGGTTTGAAAAGGAAAAGAGAGAGATTCCATGTCCAATATAACAACTCCACCAGCCCCGTGGCTTTCTTTTGATATTTTCAACGAGTTCTAGACTCGAATATAGAACTGCTATTGTGCTGTTGAATCAGCCACCAGGCCCACCTCTTCGAGTCTCCAACCTGAGAAAATCCACCAACCCATTGGAAAGAAAAGGGGAATCAATTGCTTTTAGGGTTTGGTTTCTTTTGTTTAATTTACTCAACAGGAAAAAGATTGTCTCTGGAAAGTATTATATTGAGTGTTTTCCACACCTAACGTGTCACCTCTTCCATTACTTTTAGCCAATAAGGCTGAACTTATAACTTTGCATGCGA